TCCACTGTTTATAGTTTGATCTATGGTAGAGCAGTTTGCTGTAAAGTATTCACTCCCTTGACTGTAGATTGTGTGTTTATGTTTATCAACGAAATCCCAGAAAAAAAGAGAAACAAAGCAGCGTCCCATTTAAAATATTTTATTGATAAACATACACTTGCTATAAAAGACGATGAGCTCTATTCCTCTGAGTGATGACGACACGTGTCATGTGTCCGGATGGAGGCAATAACACAGAGCAGAGTTCAGCTCAGACTCTGGGGCAACAACACTTGTGATCGAGGCAAACGAGGAGAGATTTTCAGGACACGATGAACTGATATAATATCTGGGAAGCAGCAAATAACTATGTCATTGGTTTAGCTCATGGGAAAGAGAGGAAGAGAACAGGAAGTGATTCGGAGTGGCTGATCCATTTAACTGTTTTTTGCTGGTATGGAACTGTGCTTCAAGTCAAATCACATATTGCATACACATACATGCACACACACTCATAACACACACACACACATAATGCCAAGACCCAGATGTCTGTGTGAGTGTGAAATCCACCTAAACATAAAGTACACCGGCCCTCGCATTCATCACATAAGGCACTGATTTGGATTCAGTCAGTCTATGAGAATAAACAACGGCTAAAACATCTTAAAGGGAAAATACTTAAAATCCAAAGAACAAGAATTATTATTACTATATATGATGCATTGTCATTCCTGTAACATTAATCGAAAAAGAACAAAAACCCTCGTGTAAGTCAGCCAGAGTCGCAAAACTTAGAAAAAATTAGGATGTACATCGTAAAAGAGGAAAGTTAAAGTTCAACTGTTGAGACGACAACAACCTACGTCAAACTCACACTTATCCATATGAGCAGTACTCACAATAACTTATATATGTTCTTCTTTCATGCAAAACCGTAAACACAAAAGCCAAAATGGATGACAAAGTATGACGAGTAAGGCATTAAAATGGTCAAGCTACTTCAGGTTATCCAACCCGAACACACGAGTCACATGATCAGTGCAGAAGCAGGGGACAGTAACTGTGTTAGAAGACAGTAGTGTTTAGTTTGTAGTGTCACATGTTCATGTGCTTATGACAAATCAGGTTCTTATTTCAGTGTCTTGACTGTGCAAAGGCCTTAACACACTGATTTCTGATTTATTATGTCCATGCTACACAGAATAAAAGGAAGTTGTATACATGTGAACAGTTAGAAGCACAGACGGTTCTGTATGTGCATGAGATGTTGTTTCATTTAATCCACATGTCAGTTCTGCTCTCATCCATAAAGCTGTTTGTGCATTTCAGTGGGAAAAAAAGGATGATTCCAAAGTTCCAAAGAGATTCCAAGCGTGTTCCAGTGATGAGTTTCCTTCTCCGTCCAATCACAGACTGCGATGGAGACGCTGGGGTTCCAGTTTTAATGCAGCTCATCATAGTGTAGTGGGCTGTCCTCTGCCTGCACATAAACACACACACACACAAACACACATTTATCTCTCTTTCACATATCGAGATGTCAAAGAGGTTTTGTATTGTTCTGTAAATATTTAGAGCTGCAAATCTCTACAAATAAAGATTTCTGCAGGGTTCACAGTGTTGAAATCATGCTCTTAAAGAAATATGTAATCCCACATATAAAGAAGGCTCGTACCCATTCCTCATACTCTGTATATGAGTATCATCAGTTGTGCTGTCATGTTAATTGAAAGTATAAAAAACAGAAAGTTAACCAGACTACCTTTAAACACATTATTACAATTTGTGTACAGACTATGTGCAATTTCTATATAAAAAATCTAATATAAGAGAGAATGGGATGTGTGGTTTATCAGCTGCTGCACAGAAACAAATAGGGCTACAAACCCGTATCTATCACCAATGTGTAGCTGAGATCAGGTGGATTCAGTAGAGAATTAAAAGTACATTTGTATATGAGGTTTTAAGAACTTTGTCCAAACGAACATGACAGATTTGGTGCAGAATGTTACGGGACTCTTGCTCTGCTGAGTGTCATTCTAGTTATTAGTATATGAATGTAAGATGAGACACGTGTGTGCCCCTTTGTGTCATTTTTCTCACCTCGAGTTGCCATGTAGCACTCGTGACAGCTCAGCTGTCCGTTTCGAATCCTCACGTCAGTCCCTGTAGAGGCGTCACCCAGCTGCCCATCACACACTCCACACTGAGGAGACATACACCTCATCATTTAAAGAAATGTTTTAAACAAACCTTCATGTGGATAAATATGTCTTATAAGGAGGATTATCAAACATGGTGTCTATTTACTCTTGTGGTACTGTATATCATCTTGTCTCATGTATGTGAACCACATTTGAGACAATTGTAATGTAGCTGACGTAAAGAATGACATTTCCTAATTAGTGTGAATGTGTGTATTAGATTATCACCATACCTTAAAACACTGTATGTGGAAAAACAGTGCCAGTGTATCGATGATCATAGCAGCTCCTTTTCCCAGAGGCTGAGAACAACCAGAGCAAAGTCTCTTCCCACTAACACACCTACACACACAGCAGCGTAAAAAATGAGTTGAGATACGAATCCAAATTCACATCATTTAAGCCTCAAAGTCATTCACCCAAGTTTTTATTTGATGTGCTATTCTATTTGTGTTCATGTGTTATATTACCTGGTGGGTGAAGGTGGCTGTGGCAGTGATGATGAAGAGGAGGAAGACTGCTGCTGTTTGCCTGTTACAACGTCATGTGATCCAGACCTGTGTTCAAACAACAAGAACCATGATGGAGACACTACACACATATTCACAACATCTGTAACACGTTTCAGTAAACATACACACGAAGAAGAGATGAAATAATCTATTTTTAAGGTTTGTTCTGCTCAAAGTATTGAAAATATGAGAAATAAGAAAAACAGCGAGAGCCAACAACAAAAAAACACATCTCACACTCACAATACACACGAGGCATCTTGGCATACCTTTTAACAGCATGTGTCTGGTTTAGCTGGGGGTTGCGGTCTAAAGAGGCCGTCTTCCACAGCTCCTGTTTCTTTGAGGGTTCACCATCACTCACAGAATCTAGAAAAACGCATCACGAAATAAACCTTCATCACAGAAACTCTGAGGAAAACATGGAGCAGTGCACCAACAGTTTCTTTGTGAATCTCACCCTGGAAAAAATGCAGCTTCGATGAGTGCTGATCCTCGTTCCCCGCGGAGATTCTTTGGCCGTTTTGCTGCAGAGGAACATTAGTGCTCTCCGATTTGTTGTTTTGCGGCGCTGCTGAAGTCGTCTCTGTCTTGACAAGCTGCTGGTTCAATGAGCCAGTGGGATTGAGGGGCGTTACAGTCTCCTCCAGGATCCGTCTCTCCTGAAACAAGTGCAGAGAAGATAAACACACAAAGAGGAATATATAAGATACACAATACCATGAAGGATTGTACTTCATCTTCATCGTGTCAGGCTGCGTGTTTGCACCTCTTCATTGTGTTTTCGCTCCTCCTCCTCCACCTCTATCTGGGCTTTTTCCCACTCCTTCTTCAGCTTCTCCTGTTCTCTCTGGTATTGCTCCTGTAGAGAAATGATCCATGTGTTAAATATATGCACAAAAACACACATACTACTAACACATGTAGAGATATATATACACTAACATCCAGAAGAGGCTGTGTCCTCTGTTTTGTAAACATCCACGGAGCCATGCACATACACACAATTCCACCAGTGTACCTGTAGGAGGCGCTCCTGCTCCTCTTGCCACATTTCCAGGCGTTTACGCTCCTCATTGGGGTCCCAGACCCAGTGATTAACACGTTTAGCCAAGTTCAACATGGGGGTCTCAATCTACCCAGACCCGACCAACAAGGAAAAACACACACATACAGAACATACACATACGCACACACACACACACATACAGGAAATGCGAACGGACCGAAAGGAAAGAAAGAGAGGAAAGGTGAGAGGACAAGTCTGACTACAGTGACTACAGGAGACAAAGGGTCAGGACAGGGTCAAATTTAAGAATGAAAGAGAAACAGAAAAAAAAACAAGCTGGAACAAGCCAGAGATACTCACAGTCACACTGCTCTCCTCCAGTCCCTCTGTGGAGAGACACACAAAATAATATCAACGACTAAAATACAAGAAACGGTGCAGACGTCTGCAGGGAAAACTCTGCTGTAAACAATACTTCTCAGAAATCTAAAGTATAAGTAATAGCTGGGTGAACAGAGAGGTGATCTGGGGTGAAGCTGCTTTACCTGTGACGGTGGGAAAATATTCTTGCAAACTGTTGGCTGATGAAGATAGCTGTTCCTTTTTTTCCTGCACCGGTGATGCAAACAACCCAGTAGTTCCATTGACCTGAAAGATGAACATTAAACAAAAGTGAAAACCTGATGACTACGTGTTCATCCTGCTTCTATTTGTGTATTTTCTAAAATATCCAATGTACCATCATTTTGCTTTTGGATGTTGTAGCCAGTTCATTGAAAATTGCATCGTAGATAAATATCACAAAACACTTTCAAAACAAGATTTTTCATTCTGTTGTGTGTTTTTTCTTCACCCTCCGGGCACTCGCTTGTTTCAGTTCATGTAAATGCAATATTAAAATCAACCTGAGGAGACTTGCTTTACATAGAACACCCGTCACAGTGAACAACTGAGGTGTTTCACTTCAGGCTCTTTTGTGTAGTAATTTCTACAAACAGATATTATTTAGTTACCAAATGCACTGCAGCGTTCTTTTGTTACCTCTGCCAAGGAGCTTTTGTTTTCACTCCTGTCCATGATTTGCTTGTTTTTGGATGACAAAAAAACTACTGAGCAAAATTCCACAAAATGTTGGTGGAAGGAAGAGACAAGGGCAAAGAAAGAACCCAGTCAATTTTGACACTAATTGATTTGTCATTTTCCGATTTCCCTGAGAATAATTCATGGATCTTGATGAAAACAGTTTGGGGACTGAAGTGTGTCTAATTAGTGATATTCCAGTTTGGTATTTTACCATGTAATAAAACACAGTTGACCAAGATGCAACTGTGTAATATCCATGTATGCTTGTGTTTTAGTGCTGGCAGTACTTCTGTTATTATGTCTTTTATTGTCTTGTGCAATGTGTTTGTCTAAAAATCCCAGATGCATTTATTATTTTTAAAAGTATAATACCCACGAGGGCAAATTTCCCACATGGGCAATTAAGAGCTATTGTTATTGTCTCCTTACATTCAATTTGTATTATCACTTAGTAGAAATGTAAATGAAGAATTATTTTGAGTGTAGTGTTCAGCTGCTGAAGAGGACACATTCAATGCAGGAAGCAACTAAACTCACAACATCCCTTTAATAACGTCCATGTTCGTGCACGTTCGACCTGCAGGGTTTAAATTTCCTCCAGCACAGAGCATGAACAGAAAGAATCGACAGCTCTCAGGTGTCAGAGGTTTCAGTAAACACTTGAGGGCTCCAGGATGGAAAATTCATGAAAACAATTCCCACTCCCATGAGTATTTTCCACACAGACAGTAAACACACTGTGATGGATTATCTCTCTTAAACTAGACAGTAGTTTGTGGGTTAAAACACAAGAAGCGCAGATGTCCTTTAACGTGTCACCTGTTTTATTACCTGTCCATTACTTTGCTCTGGGTTGAGCGGCTCCACCAGCGTCTGCGTCAGCTCTGTGACAATCGTTGTTGTGATGATGCAGTTTCGGCCTCCAATCAGGGAGCTGATGGCGGAGCCTGAAGATGTGGTCGGCCTCTCTGTCTGAGGAGGCGGTGGTGGTGGCTGCTCTGTTGTCTCCTGATTTTTCGCTGGCGTCTCTTCAGCCGGAACGTCTTTCTCTGTCTGTTTGGAGCTGACGACTTCAA